ACGCGGGGTGTCCCGAGGCTCCGCAGGGAGCGGGCCCCTGCCTCGCTGGCAGTGGGAGGAGTTTGGGGGCAGCTCCCGAACAGGTGGCCCGCACGCCGCCGCGACTCCCAGCTTGTGGAGTTCACCGGGACTGGGCTTTCCCAAGCCACGTGGGATAAGGGAGGGGGCGGGGGGCAACCCAACGCCATGAAACAGGGTCTCCTTCCCACTCGGGGCAGGCCACGGGTCCGCCTTCCCATCCGAAGTTGAGGGACCCCAGGATGTACCCCCTCTCAATAAGCTGGGCAATACCTCCAAAACCAGGCTTTGTGTGTTGAGGGGGCCTGTTCTTGGACAGCCAGCCCTGAAAGCTGGAGGGGGTGTCATGAGGGGGCAGGCAGAGGTGGACCTGCTGTGCCCAGACCATGCCTTCTGAGGTCCCTCAGGGCGCCCACACCCGCTCCCAGCCAGGCTGTGGGGTCTGACCGCCTGGAGCTTCTGAGGTCCCCCAGGGCGCCCACACGTGCTCCCAGCCAGGCTGTGGGGTCTGACCACCTCTGTCCTGGGCTGTGTCCAAGAATCAGGTGCCCAGTGGGTCGGGATGACAGTGCCAGGAGTCCTGGATGGGCACCCTGCTCCCATCATCCCGGAGGTCCGGCTTCATTTCTAGCTGGGGGCGGGGCCTGTGACTGCCAGCTCCAGAGCCCTGTAGGGAGCTCCCTGGGAGGGCACGGCAGGACTGGCAAGGGAGAGGCCTGGGACCATCCCAGAGGGAGCCTTATGCCCAGAGACCTGTCCCACATCTGCTGAGGTGGAGCAAGCATGGGTGGTGGCCTTGAAGTTTAGGGAGGTGGCATGGGGCTCTTTCCAAGGGGCTGGAGCCCCCCTACACCCACCCTGGGTCCTCCAAGGGTCTGAGTTCAAAGCTGTATCCACAGGCCTGAGTTAGGCCCCTTGTAGTGCTCTGTGCATGCAGGGCCCTTTGCGGGTTGGGAGACAGACTGGGAGGGACCAGGATGCCACAGAGGCTGGAAGTCCTTGTCTGGAGAAAGCTGGCCAGGCTCAACCAGGGAGGGGTTAGAGGGGGTTCCAGGAGGTGAAGACACGGGGTCGCCGGAATGGCCTTCCCAAGAGGGCCTTCACCAAGGTGTTCAGGCAGAGGCTGGGCGCTGTAGAAGTGACTTGGGCTGAAGGTGACGGGGACTGGGTGAGACTCTGTGACTTGGTGGCCTGTCTTGTTTAAACCTCTTTCAAGGTGAGGTTGGGCTGGGGGTGGAAGGACGGCCTTTCATCCATCAGGTACCTAAACAGAATGATTCCTGCAGGCAGGCAGCTGGGGCAGGAGCAGCCCCTACCTAGGAGGTCCCTGCCCATTCCCCACCCCTCCTCAGTCCAGGATTCCCAGGGGCAGGCCCCCTGGTGCCTGCAGATTCTAATCCTGTGGTGCACCAGGAAGCACTTTGCTCATCAGCTCACCTCCGCAAAGTTTGGAGGGGCTAACATGCCAGCCTCCAAAAGGGGACAACAGGCCAGGCGAGGTGGGTCATGCCTATAATCCCAGCACTTTGGGAGGCCGAGGAGGGCTGATCACCTGAAGTCTGGAGTTCCAGACCAGCCTGGCCAATATGGTGAAACCCTATCTCTACTAAAAATACAAAAATTTGGCTGGGCGCGGTGGCTCAAGCCTGTAATCCCACTTTGGGAGGCCGAGACGGGTGGATCACGAGGTCAGGAGATCGAGACCATCCTGGCTAACACGGTGAAACCCCGTCTCTATAAAATACCAAAAAAAAAAAAAAATTAGCTGGGCGTGGTGGCGGGTGCCTGTAGTCCCAGCTACTTGGGAGGCTGAGGCAGGAGAATGGCGTGAACCCGGGAGGCAGAGCTTGCAA